TTCCAAGACCTCGTCAGGTAAATGCTCTGGATTTAATTCAATCGAGATGGATGATTTCCATAAAACGTTCTGATTTAAATACCTAGCAGCTTGTCTGCGATCCTCTTCTTTTCCAATTGAATGAGAACGCTCACAAGACATCCCACGGTTGCGTGGAGGCCCTCCTTATTCCTCCTTATTTGGAGAACAGCACCTGCCATATAGGTTCTGCGTAAGAAGTCTTTATATAATCAAGGTCACCATCAGAAAGTTCAAGAAGTGCTCCAAAGTCCTCCCAGATGTTCCCTATATCTTTTTTAATAAGGGTAGCTATCCTTCGAGTAACAGTTAACTTTCTCAGCTCCTCGGTTTGGGCTGAACAAAATAAAAAAAACAGCTTAAGAATTTAAAAGAAAAAAAAGAGGTTTCGACAAATACTCGTGGTAATATTCAAGTATAATTTGTTACTGTATAATTCAACCTACAGAAAGAATACTACAATCCTACGAACTCGACTACTTTATTAAAACAAAGTACAATTTCTTACCGAGGAGCGACTCCTAAAGGCAGAACAGTAACTATCCTAAACTTACCTAAGCCCACTACAGTCTATATCCTAGTTCACCACTGACACAAACTCATAGTTGTCTCCTAATCTCCTAGAAATGAATAATCTTCCATGGAAGCTCTATCTTCAGTAATATAGCTTTCTAGACAGTCAGTGACGTCATAACAGCTACAGCTATTACTACACAACTGAGTCTTATATGTACTTTTACAAAGTATACTAGAACATTCCGGAAGCTTACAACACATATATTTTAGAAGTATTATACATCATAACTACGTGACCTAATAACATGTAAACACGAAAAAATAAACATTGTCAACTGTCGGGACTTTGGAAAAAAGGGTCACTGGTTCGCCAACGGCCTTGGCAAAAAATAATATTCTAATTTATTGCACCGCTCGCAGCGCCCTTGGGTGAGATGAAGCGAATCCTATCTTCTGATTGACTTCGTCTCGGCTATAAAAATGCACAGAAAGAACTCGGCCAATATTCAGCCATCTTGACCTCACACTTGGTTAATAATACATATGTCTTGCAACAGCCAAGCTTAGTTTGCCGGAACAATTTTCAGTGCCGAATGCATAACGCAAAATCAAATCATGGGAGGAAATTTTGAACATGGTGATTAAAAGAAGATTTGAAATTTTCGATTTCAGGATATTTTTCGGGTAGGAAACTTCTGCCACGTATTTTTTGGGTAGCTTGATTGAAGTAGGGATTTTTGGGGAATCCCAAACAGTCTGCAGATCGGTGATAGTTCTCGCGCGTCCCGGCCGCGAAGTAGAAATTCGACATGGATTCGTTTTGGTTAAATTTTTGTCCAGGGATTGTTAGGTTTTGATTTTTGCCTGCGTTTGATCATCCCTGTCCCTTGAAATCCGGAGTAACCCCCCCCCCCGTCCCCCCTGTGCCAAGCTAGGTGCTACTTAAAGAATAAGTTTATTTGGAAATTTAAATATCCTACATTAAATTTGGGAAGTGTATACAACAATTTAGATTTCTTGACTGTTAGAGGCTGTGGGAATAAAAGGCGCGTACATTTATATTATCACTTGCTATGCGTGTACAATCCTGTGTATCCCGATAGCTTTGTGTTTTCGCTTTATCTGAACTGAGCTATCTATTCGTGCTTGTACACTGACAACAGAGAAAATTGTATAACCAATGGGGCGATTTTTCCTATCCAACATCTCACGGGCTCGCTAGCCGCGAGTTCCTGCGAGTACGGGAGATTTTTATCCGTCTTATTTTCCCAGCTTAGCAAGGTAAGAACGGTCGGTTTCATCAGACGTTGCTTTAAAACTACTCGAATGTATTTTTCATCATGCATTGTTTCAAAATACGCGTAAAAAATAGATGATACCAAGATGAAATTTTGGAGAAACGTTGCTCCGAATTTTATTTCATCGCCGGAAGAAAGGTCACTTAAAAGCTTAGATAAGATTAAGCATTAGATCAATTGACGCTGACCGGAAGTGCTTGTAATTTAACACGACAGAAGGAAACTCTTCTGTGTCAGTTGTGACAAGCGCTGATTTCGTGTTGTAAATTCAAATAAACCCTGAAATGTTTTCTGACTTGTTCGATATGTAGATGGTTGAAAATTGAGTTTATTGCAATGGTAGGTAGGATTTAATAGGTGCTCCTGATTAGTGGCATCTCCCATTAAATTGTTTCTCCAGATGGCAATGGTTTACTTTACATCAAAGAAGGATTATTTCCAGAGAGACTCTCACTAGGCGCCAGGTCTTCGAACTATTGACGATCCGCGTTATTCAAAGGAAATTTGTTGGCGTTACAACATGAACAGGACTCTGGCCCAGTATTCTATTCATCACCCGAGAAGAATTAAGATGTACATTAGTATATTTAGAAAGAAAAAAACTAGCAAACCACAGAGGCTTGTGCCCGCAGTAGAGGTGTTTCGCCTTCGGTCATAGGGTGAAATCCAGGTCTTCTACAAGTATAATTTGACCTAAGAGAAATAATCGCTTTCATTTTTTCCTATCCATTCAAATAGACAAAGAAGAGAGTTCTAATGATAAAGAACCATACTTGTCTCGCAGGACTATGCATCAGAAACTTCCAAGAATTGAGAGAAAATTTGAGCGAGCTAGTAACATCAGAGATCGATGGTGAAAAAGGAAAGATAGGCGCTGGTGTTCAGCATCTGCAGACCGAAACAACAAGCATTCAAAAGTCACAACAGGACATGGTCATCAGTACGCCGGGTAATATACCAATAGTTTATATAAACTTAACATATGAAGTTTACCATTTGGCAGAACTGTTTGGCCAGATTTGCTTCGCCTTTAAAAAGATCTGAAAAATATCCAGCCAGATTCTAAATTGTATATTGCTTTTTGATAGAAAATAACAGAAATTTCTCCTCTTCATATTCAAACTTAACAGGGCCACAGCTTGCCAATTCAGACTTACGATAAACGCCCTTAATCAGCTTATTCAGCTGACATCAGTTTCCATATTCTCCATAGTATTCACTGTACATTTCCTAAGACGCTGACAAAGAGAATTTGTTTAATAATCAAGAGCTGCTTTAGTTGGTGATCATTTTCTTTATTCTCATAACCTTTATGTTTGACTCAGCAGTGATATTGTAAGGAGAAATAAGATGTTAATCACTCTTAGGTGTCAACGTGTTCTGGTGACTGGGATGCTTGTTTCCCTTCATATCCTAAGTTTTTCTTTCTATAGGATAGAATTTCCAGATTGTGGTATTTGTTTAGGTTGGGCTTTGTTAGCGTTATTTTGTGAAATCATTTATGAATAAGGTAGAAGAACAACTCAACAATAATTACAGGTATTTTCATATTTTGGCTGTAAGGTAAATAAAACCAAATAATGTTTCTTGAGTTAATTTCCTATGTCTGTTTGTTTTTTTTTTTATAATTACTTATTAGATATTTTCAATGTATTCGCTAGACCTTTAGGCACCATTACCTGATTGTTACAATTTTTTAAAGTCGGTTTGAGCAGCCATAAAAAGTTTTGTAATGTGATGTAGACGAAGATACCCATGAAAGAGAACACGGGTGCTTAGACATCCGATGAAAGCTATTGTTCCATTAATGGCTGTTATCTTTATCGATAGCAGCTATCATTTTCAATTGATAATTGGTCCTCTAGATGGAACAAATTGCCAAGAACATTTTTCAAAAATCATCGTCATTTTTCTTCGTAAACACATCAAAACATTTGAATTTACAATAAAAACCCGCCTCCTGCTCTCTAAGAAAACGTGAAAAATTCACGAACTTGGCACTCATCTTAAATGAAAATATTCTAGATGCAAGTTCACAGTCCCTCAACTTTCGTTCACAAATCTACATCAACAAGAGACCGAAAAGTGTCAGAGTCGCTCCGAAACAGAAATGGTATTTCCATTTTACGGCTCAGCCCTCATCAATAAGGAAAAATACACCTCAGTGCATTCGAAACTTCGGAAGTCAGTGATGGACACCCAAACCAAGCTGGTGGATGACTTTAACAATCTTAAGAGCACTTGGCTTGTAAATCAAACAAGCTGTCACGCATGAAATTTTGTGCAACGCAGTGACTACGCTTACTGAAGACAGTTTTCTCTGGATTCTCTGTATCTCGAAAATGTTATAAAACATAATTCAATCGACACCTAATGGAACTTCTACGCATTTAAAACACTACAGGAAACAAGAATGGTAACCTGATCTTAAATATTAGGAGAACTTCGTAAACAGAAACAACCCCTTTGCATTCTGATGGGTACGAATAAGGCCCCATAGCCCTAACTGATATAACTGTGACAGAGTCAAATCAATTTAAAGGGACATGCTATGTTTTATAGCGTTTATGTGACGTAGAAATTATTTTTAAGAGCGAACACAAACATCAATGAAGCAGATAGTATAAGTCCAGAAAAATCTTGGAAGGTCTAAAATGGAGGAGATTTCAAAACATAGCCGGATTCGCAAACTTTTAAAATCTAAGTCTTCGCTGGAAATTAATCCAGGAAAACATTGCTCTTATTTTCTTCACTTCTAGCCTAAGTGACTATGAGTGTATCTTTCCGTAAGTATTTACCTAAAGGAAAGTAGCGACAAAATTTGCATCCACGAGTCCCCGACGTCAAATCTGAACCACTCCATCGATTCAGGAGAAGAAACACTCACCGACTTGGACACAACTGGGGCGGTAGAAAATAGGAAGAATCAAAACCTAGCAACCATTGCTATAATTTTTCTCACTCTCACAAAAAGTTGATTCATTTCTCTCTATTTTTCCCTCTCTTAACACTCTATCTTTTAACTCTCTTATGCCCACATGCCCACGTTATCGGTGGGCATAAGCGAGCCAACTGACCTTTTAGGATTAGACTTCTTAACCATAAACAAATCCAAACATGACGGTTTCACGAGGATCTCACGAAGAGGGACAATGTGCAGGAAATTTCCGATCAGATAATCAATCAGCGCACTAAGCTATGCCAAAAATTTCAGTGTAGGTCCAATGAAAGGTCAGTAAACAGACCCAGACACGTAGTTAACTGTTTGGAGACTCAAGTCTTACTAACAGCCAAGGAAAATCCACTAAAGGATTGAAACTGCAAGTGTGGTCTTGTAGGACAGTGATCATGAATCATAGGACTCACAAACAATTGGATAGTTAAACCACGAGGGGTCAGGGGATTATCAGGTTATCATCATCTCCTAGCCCCTATTGTTGTATTTCAGATTTACTGCCTTTCTTACGAATGTAGTTCATTAATTCGTTTCTAAAGGTATTTTTCTAGCTTGACGGTTTGAAAATAGCAAAGTCCTTCACACACTTTAACATGGCTAACATTATTCTTCAGAAGATTGTCGGCCTATTTGGATCCATCTTGCGTTTAGTATAAAATACTTTTAAAATCCATATTTGATAAACATATTTTCTGCTTAGTCAGTAAAGATAGCCTAAGCCCCTAAGGCAATTCGGTTTTCGCCCGGCTAGTACTATTAATGACTGTCTGGTCAATTTAAGTTAACAAATTACTGCTTTTCTATACAAAGGTTACAATTTCGTTTTTAGACTTTAGCAAAGTGGAATACTAACGGAGTTTTCTTTTGAGTTTATGGACCAAGACCAGGAAGGAGAGGTGCTTACTTACCTACAATATATGTTAAATCGGCTGTTCAATTAGGAAATGACAGAGATTCATCAAATTGTCACGTCTAAGGCATTTTGTTTTCTAAATTTAGCGCTAGTGGCTGCAATAACGGGGGAAATGATAAGGGATTCTGATGCTTGATATTTGAAATGTGACGTTGGCAGTATCAACAAGTGACCGTATTAGTGAGGGTTTGTATAAGGAAATGTAAGGCCGCTTTGCATAGCCAAAATATAGCGGCCGTAATAACGAGGTGACCGTATTACCGAGTTGCCCGTACTGCGGGGTTCCGCTAGCAGTTTACGCGCAGAACTTCTTTTTTCTATATTTTCAAGGGCATCTGTAAGCACTCCTAACGTGGCTCCACTTGCTTTTCTCTGTTTCCACCTGAGGCACACCTCCCAAGCTTTTTCGCGGAAATGTTTGAAATCAGCGTCAATTATGCGGAGCACTTCCGTTGATAGTCTCAACTTAACGCCCAGGTCCCTCCAGAGTTCGCCTATGTCATCAACGATTACCTGGATATGGTCTTCAGTGACAAGTGTTTGCCGATGATCAATTGTTCTCGAAGTATCTACAATACAAAAAATTATGTCATTGATCAGCATCTCCTTTTTCTCAAAAAAGAAATATGCACTGTCACAGTGTGTTGAGCATTCCGCGTTTTGAATATCTCCATACCCAAAACGCTAGCATTTTTGGTATTCCCGCTCAGGATGAGTAAATTAAAGTAGAAACTGGCGCAAGTAACATGGCGTTCCATATTGACTCGTTGAGTAAAAATATTTCTCTCTAAAGTCAAATTAGTTGCTGTCCTGTTTTGAATAACGCCAGGAATGTCCGTCAGGAATGGGTTTGAGAAAAAGAGTTCTCAATCAGATGAATTAGGTTAGTTGTTTCTTTCGTAAACAAATACATTTTAGATAAACCGTCACTGTGATTTCTTGGACAATACAAGTAGGACGTTTTTTTTGTTGTTTGCAGTTTGTGAGGACTCTGTGTACTGAAGATCTCAAACAAGTGGGATAGAACATCATATCAAGAAGGATTCGGTTATTCTAACAGCTCTAAGGAGTAGGATAAACAACAAATAGTCTCTTAAATTCAGTTTCTGTGGCTGTCATGTACCGTTGTGAATAAGAATAATAAAATTGTCAATAACGACGAGAAAACATTTGCAATAGGTGTTCGAATCATTAGACATTGACTAAAGCTGACAATGAGACCATGGCAGACTCATTAGAAAGGGGCTCCTATATCACTGAGTACCCTCTGGGGTATCTATACCACTAAGTATCCCTAGGTGTACCTATATCACTGAGTATTCATAGGAGTACCTATACCACTGAGTATCTATAGAAGTTCCTATATCACTGAGTATCCATAGGGGTACCTATGTCACTGAGTATCCCCAGAGGTATCTCTATCACTGAGTATCCCCTGGGGTACCTAGATCACTGAGTATCCATAGGAGTACCTGCATCACTGAGTATCCCTAGGGGTACCTATATCACTGAGTATCCCCAGGGGTACCTATATCACTGAGTATCCCTAAGGGTACCTATATTAGTGAGTATCCCAAGGGGTAATATATCACTGAGTATCCCCAGGGGTACCTATATCACTAAGTATCCAAAGGGGTACCTATATCATTAGTATCCAAAGGGGTACCTATATCACTGAGTATCCATAGGGGTACCTATATCACTGAGTATATCCAGGAGTACCTATATCCCTAAGTATCCTTAAGGGTACCCATATCACTAAGTATCCATAAAAGGTACCTATATCACTGAGTATCTCCACGGGTTCCTATGTCACTGAGTATCCATGGGGGTACCTATATCACTAAGTATCCAAAGGGGTACCAATATCACTAGTATCCATAGGGGTATCTATATCACTGAGTATCCATAGGGGTACCTATATCACTGAGTATCTCCAGGAGTGCCTATATCCCTAAGTATCCTTAAGGGTACCCATATCACTGAGTATCTCCAAGGGTTCCTATGTCACTGAGTATCCGTAGGG